GGGCTAGCTTAACATGTCACTGGTGTAGCTTTGGGCCACCTGTACTGTGTCCCAGTATCATAGACACATCCATAGTTGTGGTTTTCTTGTGGTACCAGGACTCCTGTGGTGATGTGGCACTCACAGAACAGGTTTCTGCTCCTTGGGGCTTCTTCCTGTTGAGTTAAACACTAAACTTAGTGATGGGCAAAGTTCAAACTCTGATGAAGCTTTCGTGGAACATATCCCCACCTTTGGGTTTTCTTCCCTGCTTTCCTTGTGGCTTCTCTCACCCTCTCTGGTGGCTGGTCCCAGTGACTTTCAGCATCTGGTGACCTTTTCTGGACAACAGCCAGCAAGGTTGAAGTGTTCTGGAGAATCCTCTTTTTCCTTCCTATCACTGCACTCACTGGCATCCCAGCATCCCTGTTGCCTCCACTGTTTTTCCTGGACACACTTAGTGACTTGTCACCTCTGGTCTGCTCAGTCGTGTGCCAGTGGGAAGCCCATGTTCACTCTAAATTTTTGTCAGATTGTAGAATCATAGAATATCTCGTGTTGGAAGCGACCCATAAGGATCATTGAGTCCAACTGGAGCTGCTGTTTCTGTCAATAATCTCTACAAATTTTGTAGTGAAACAATCCAATATCCCTGTTGGGATGAGGATCCTGTTGTACAACAGAGGATATAGACACAGGGAAACTTTCTATTCCATGAAGTGCTAATAGTCTGTGTCACTTCAATAAAATTACAAGAATCTTTATTGTTCCAAAATACGTTAAACTGTTGTTGCTCTTGGCAATCTGCTATTAACCCTCTTTCATGCTGTGATTCGCCTTCTATTCATACTTTATTTCTTGTCTATTACATAGATTTTAATTGAAAAAAAGGACTTCAACTTTGTGCCTTGTGGCTTCAAAACTAATTGATTCTTCTTAAAAGCATAAAGGCACCTTTTCCATCGGGCATGGGGTGTATTACACTTTAACGGAGGGATGCACTGGACTAGGGTTGGCACCATTTCCAGGCTAGTTAAATTACATCCACCACTTCTCCTTTGTTTAATCTTTATTTATTATAGTTTTTTTATTATTAAAACAAGTCTTTCAAGTTACAGAAATTACTTACAAATGTTGTGCTGGCTTTATGTTTTACACATGTAGGTGTTTTTATAACATAACTCATTCCTGTGTGATTTTCTCGAGTAATTTCCCTTTGTATTGACCCAAGTGTCTTTGGTCTGTAAGTCCTGGCAAACGCAGTAAGAACTTTTACAAAGATATGCCATCCCTTTCTTGTACCCTGGCAATCATTAATTTGGCTTAATTTTGCCAAAAGATGTGGTAAATATCTGGATTTATTGCCTTGAGAACTGAATAGTAGTTAAAATATGGCTACACCAGTATGTAAGAGACAGCCCTGATATTCTTTGTGTGAATTCCCAGATATGTTAGTGAAATTTAGAAATGTCTTCATTTTGGTGTTAATATAAAAAATACTTGTTTTTCATTGTGAAAGGGAAATTAATTTAAGGTCCAGGGGAAAAAAAATAAAGAATTATTTACCTCCTGAGGAGTGAAAAACTAAATTTGAAAGGAATCATTGCAACCAAATACTGTCTGAAACATTTCTCCCTCTGTCTGGTCATCATTGCTTTTTAACATAGTGTTGGTATGTATGCCTGCAAGTATGTGTCCATATTCTCTGATAATTTATTTATTGGCTTAAAATTACATTATGGAAATAATCATATCGGAGCTGATTTCCTCTTCCACTCTTCCCCCTAAATCACTACCTCAGTAAAAATATATAAGGAAACAAGATACTTTAGAACCCAATTTATTATCTCCTGCTGGTAGCAATAACCTGAAAATAACAGCAAATAGTAAAATTCAAACGTGAGGCAGACACTGGTGCTGGGAACAGCTGTAGTCGCATTTCCAAAGGATAGATCCAATATAACAGCTATAGAAATGTGCAATGTTTCAGAGGCTCCCAGTTTAGTACTTGATTGCTTTTTCAAGTTTGTTCTATACATTGAGAAGAACACAGGATTTTAAAAGGTACAAACAAGCATAATAAATAAGCTGCTGCTTGGAGATATTGCCTCCCCCTCTCACCCTTCTCTTCCCTGGCTTCTGCCTTTCCCTTTCCCCACAAAGAGTGCCTAATATTTTTCCAAGGAAAATAATTACACAAAACCCACTTTTTTTTTTTTCTATATGAATGTAGGAAAAAGCTGTTACAAAGTCAATTATTGAGCAAAATCAAGAGGCTGTCCAGTAGTGTAAAGACAGTCCTAGCAGCTGTGTTCATTTATCACAGCATACTGCGAGGTTTTTTTTTCCTGAAAGGGGCATCCCCAGCCAGGCTATCTGTGCCTTTTTGGAGGCTGCAGTGTGTGAGAATTTTGGCATTTAAAAGGTTCAAAGGAAAAAAAGTCACCTTATAGTTCATTAAAAAAAAAAAAAAAAAGAAAAAAGAAAAAAAGTATTTAGTAGAGTATGAAAGAATAGCAATATAAAATCACATCAACGTTTTAAATAAAACTGATGGAAATCAGGGTTGTCAATCACATGGCTGAAGAAGGGATGAAACTCTTATAGAGGACCCCACTGGTCCATCCAGTGACTCTGGCTATCGTGAAATAGAAAATGTGGCTCTTTATACCCATCTGGTTTTGGAAAAGGATGGTATGGTATATACATTTATCAGTGCAGCTTATTTCTTTTTGTTCTTGTCTTATTCTTGAAGACTTTCAGTGGAGGATTGTAGTCAGTGTAGAGTGAGTATTAACGGGCACACACCTAAAATATGTTTAGATATTTGATTAAAATAGCCTGTGTATTTTTTACATTTTACAGAATATATAGAATTACTTAAGGAAGTGAATAAACAAGCAGTCTTATTCTAGGATGTTGGTCCTGGGAAAAGAGCTCCAGTGCTAGAATGAAACAGGGCATCAGCCTCTGGGAGGAAGAGGAGGAGGAAGGTGGTTGGCAGGGAAGGGAAGGCAGGGATTTCCTCCAAAACAGGAAGGAGTCTTCCATGAGTCTGGGATGGCTGGTAGTTTCTGCCTACAAACAAAAACTTTCCCCTTTAACTTTTTGTAATATTTTTTTGTTTTGTTTTTCTTTTATCCAGACTCAGTTTAAAATACCCTTGGCACCACTGCTGGTAGGTGGTTAGTTTTCAAGGCAGGAGAACCAACCTGCTTTATCTAGTGACTTCCACATTTAAATAGTTAAATTGCAATATATAAACAATCTAAAAATCAGTGAGGGGGAAAGAGCCGTTGCTAATGATGATGCCTTGAGTTAGGGCAGAGTAGGACTGGACTTTATTCCTTGAGTTGACCATCTGCACTCAATTTTATTTCCTTTCATTGCTTCAAGTGAACTCTCAAAAAATGATACAGTTTTGCAAAGCTTGATGCTGAAAGGCAGGTTAATCCATGCATGAAACTTCTTGGTAAAATAAATACTCTTATCCTTAAAACTCTAATATTTATCTCATTTTGTCTGTCACTTCACTTGCAGGGTCTCCAGAAAAGGTCTGTTTATGTTACCGTTCAGGTGAATTGGATTTATGCCACCTTGTTGTAATCTTTAAATGAACATGTCAAAGACCTTACAATGTCTCAGAAATCATTCACAAGATGATCTTTTTTACTGACATATTATCTTTCAGGTTAGAATTAAATTACAGCTGTTGTTTAATCCTGTTATTCTGATGAGCTGGAATCATAAGCACGGATATTGGTCTTAAGTCTCAGCTTCAGGATGTGCAAATCAAAATTTACTGGGATTTTCAGCACTGAAGTCTTGTGTTTAAAAAAAAATAAATTGTGCTTTTCTTCAAATGATTCATTGTAAAGAAAATGGTAAAATATAAGATAAATAAAAGATTACTCACATATTGGTCGTATTTTTATAAATTCTTTTCAAGTCAATTCTGTGCATGGAAGCAAAGGAAAATACACATTAAAAATAAAAATGAGGATAAATCAAATTCAGTAGCTATAAAAATTAATGAAGTCTTGGTAATACCATGGCAGAGTAAACTCAAACAAGCCTTTGCCTTTTGAAAGACTGCTTTGATATTGATTTATCTAAATAGGCAGCCAAATTCAGCCCATAATGTAATTAAAATGCAATATCATATAATGACTCAAAAGATAGATTTAAGAGTCTTTCCCCTTCTTTTCCTTCCTCTGCCTGCCCCAAATAAAAAGGCGAGAGAAATTAATTGAAACTAGAAATCTCTTATGATAAATGAAAATATGAAGGGAATCAGCTTTCAAATTTTTTGTCAGTATCAACTAAAGTGATACTTGGCAGAGTTTGGGGTTGGCTCATCTCTTGGATGAACAGGTTTGGAAATCCTTGCCTGCCTTGTGTGCAGGTATATGTCTTGCTGCCCAGGAGAGATGCTTTCTGCATATGTCTCCATAGAAGAAACCAACAGCTCTGCTCCATTTTATTGAAAGTAGATGAAGAAAATTCAAAAGTCTGGACCTTGTCTCTGTGATCTAGAGGTGGCAGTGTCCCTGAAGGGGATGGGTATGGGGACATTCCCCCATGCTCAGGCTTTTTTCACCTGCCTCTGCCTGGTTCCCAGTTGCAGCATGAGCATTTCGGATTCTCTTCTTAGGTGTCTTTCTCTCCAGTGTGGTGTAAAGGGATCTCCTTGAGCATAAATGTGGGGATTAGATTCCAGTTTGTTGCTCCAGCATTGTAGAAAATCAGCATTGAATTTATTATTAAATCACCTGTTTACTATTAACCATAGTCTTAATTGACCTGCTGAATATGGATTATTTAGATAAAACTTTACGTGCCTTGCTGAACAGAGGATTAACTTCTTACTCTGGGAGATAAGACCCTAAAAAAGCACAGGATTTTGGTGCATTCTGGAAAACTAAGGCCAGCAGTAAACTCCAGAGCTCTGTGTGTTGGTCAGGGCAAAGTTACAGCCCTCCTTTTCTTGTTTTCTTTTTTTTTCTTTTTTTTTTTCTCAGTTACTAGACCAGTTGATGGGAAGCTATGCCTGGGTCCTGCTCCCTCTGCCTCCCAGCTGTGTCACCTGCCGTGCCCCTCTGAGTGCGCAGTGTCTGCCTGGTCGGCCTGGGGCCCCTGCCTTCCCGAGGACTGCCGGGACCACCACGGGAGAAGAGGTAATGGTTGCTCTTACATATTGCTTTGGTGGCATTGGGGGATCTAAAGAGGGTAATGGAATATTGTGATAAGATTGCAAAAGCAATAGTGTCCAATTCTACATTGGGAGCTTAATGTATTTTTTTTTTAATTAATCTAACATAGGATGAAGCGCTTAAATGTTCATACAGAAGTGGAATATGACATTTAAAAGCTTTTTGCAGTTATTATTGTGAGAACAAAAACAAAACCCCAAGATTTTCAGCCTGATTCAGATTCTTTTATCTTGCACTGAACTTGTAGAACAGTAGGATTTCTTGGGATAGCAGCTACCAACCTCCATAGTGCCGGACCATCCCTCAGATCCTCCTCAGGAGTCCTGCTGCTTGGATTTGAGGGCAGTGCTTGGGTAAGGTTGAAGAGTGTCAGGACTGACGTGTATGCCTCCTGCCATCTT